GTGTCGGAGGCGTCAGCTGAGATCAGTCGTGAGACCCGCGCGCCCTCTCGAACACCTCGCCGTCGTCACCTGTGCGACTCGCAGCACCTCCGGCGCCAACAACAACCACCGCGGGAGGCACGTCGGCGTCGTCATGAGGCAGACCGAGCAGATCCTGGGAGGCATCGAGGGCCTGGACACGGCCGAGGAGCAGGTCACCGTCAGCGTCCCGGTTAGTGTGGCGAGCAGTTCTTTTGGCAGCAGCCAGCTTGGCGCCAATTATTTGACACCTCGATGTCAAGCAGACTTTACGACTTTTTCGTTTCCACAGTTTGAGTTTGCTTTTAGGGATTTAGTAGGCATTTGACTTTCGACTGTCTGAAGCGCCCAAAGGCCTTACAAAACAATCCCGATGGTATTTATGGCCTGTGCTCCAAGTTATTCAAGTTGTAGCAGACTGTACTACATTTTGGCAGTGCGTCAAGCTCACCATGTCCCGGGCAATACTTCGTTCTCGTGAAAAAGATATGAGCAGAAAGAGGACAAGAGGAAACTTGGTCCCACCCGCAGTCCCATGGAATGACGCAGTTTATTTGGGCAGTCACGAAGTTATGATCGATTCTGACCTCGTGTGATCCTGAGTGTCGTCTCGGTAGCGCTACCCAGCCTTTCCTGCGTGTAGATCGTTTGTAGCCTATGATAATATTTATAAAACATTTTATACAGAAACTAAGTAATGGATAAATACTCTAAATGGGAAGGGACAATTTTTGTACCTAGGTTAGATCGGTAGACGTGTCTTTGAGCACAAATAAAAAAAAATCTGTACGGTAGGTACAAATTGTACCTAGGCTAGGTTCAAAAGAAGAATTTTGTATATGACGACGTAGATACAAATTTGTATTTGGTTTAGATGTGTTCAAAGACACAGCTTGTCTACGTACAAAAATTGTTCCTCGCCATGTAGCTTGTACTGTCGCGTGTTTTTTGAATGGACCAGGTTTGGACCAGGGGGTACTATGGGAAATCCTTAATTCAAATGAGAGGAGAGCGGGGTGGCGGGAGTAGGTATGTAGAATGGGGGAGGGGGGGGCGTGTGTACGTGTATCTCCTTGCGTCCCGCGCCCGCTCCTCTACCGGCCAAAGAACCGCTTGTTGCTGCGTCTCAAGGTCACCAGCTTTGCCATTTGACGGATCAAAGAGTGCGCCAACGAGATCGACAGGACAGCCCCCC